ACTGCCACAAAGCTCTCAGGGCAAACCCAGCACTGCATGGCAAGGCAAATCTCAGCTTCTCCGAGCCACGGCTTGCTTATCTGTATGCTGGGGCTCACGCAATTATTTGGGCCGGTGTTGCAAAGATGAAATGAGATCCTGCCTGGTGCACACTGCTGAGCACCGGGCACACTGCAGGATAAAGTGGAGGAGTCAGAGGCCTGCACAAAGCGTTCCCACCAGAGAATCTTTTCCTCTGTGGTAATTCCTGGTGGGGCGGCAGCGCTTTTAACTAACGCACATCTGGAATTCTTCTGCCCTTTGCTAAGCCATCTCATGCATTACCTCATTTCACCCTTAGAACACTCAGGATGGCCTTCACTTGGTTTAGGGTTAGGACAACAAGAAAGGATGTGCCCAACATATTAATCTTATTTAACCATACACATACAAGAACCCAGAACCTTGAATTTGGGGAGGGATAAAGACAGAGCAAGAGGGAGAGGAGGGGAGGGGAGAGGAGAGTCAGCTAATATTTTCTGGGTGCTTACCAGGTGCCAACTGTTCTAAGTATCCTACATTTAATAACTCATTCCATCTTCCCCAAAATGTACTTATCAAATAGGTACTGCTTTATCCTCCTTTCATAAATGGGAAGTTAGAGGCATACACAGGGGAGTGCAGGAAGAGTAGACTTTTGAGCCTGACATGGTGGCAAATGCCTACAATTCCAGCACTCTGGGAGGCTGAGGCAGGAGAACTGCAAAGGACTCAAAATTCGAGCCCAGACTGGGCAATCATTAGTGAGGCCCTATTTCAAAATAAAAAGTAAAACTGGCATTGGGAATGTAGCTCAGTGCAAAGGTCCTGGGTTCAATCCCTAGAACTGAAAAAAAATGTTTTTGTTTATTTGTCCAGGTCCTAGTCATCCCCTCCTAGGATCCCAGCCTCCCAGCCTCAGTCTCCAATATCCCACCTTCCATAGTTACTAGGGATGTCTTCCCACACATGACACTCCTCTGCTCAAGAATATTCTAAGGCTCTCTACTACCTAGAGTCAACGACACCAATAAGATGGAGAAGATTAACTGGGGACTTAGATTCCTGCAGGATCCCAGACATTTCACCGGCTGATTTACAAGTCAGTGAGGCTTTCCCTGGCCACTTCTGTAAATCACACACCTCCCCTCTCCAGCACACCCTGTCCACTTCTCTCCATCACACCTCTCAGCCCCTGGTCGTCCACATCAGACTTTCTTCTTGTCTCTTCCCTTCCTAGAAGGGAGCTCCAAGTGTCAAGGGAGGTTGTTCTGCTTTGGTTTGGTTTTTCCCTGCTGCAGGCCCAGAACCTAGGGCAGTGCCTGGCATAGTGGAAGAGCCCTAAATATTAGCTGAATGCATGATCAGGCAGACATTCAAAACACTGGGAAGAAAGTGTGCAAACAGTGCCACAGCAAGAGAGCGGCTGGCATTTCTCCAGCACAGCAGAGGCCCAGACTAAAAGCCCGGAAGCCCGGAAGCCCAGAAGCCCAGCCTGTAGTGGCCATCCTTCCGGGGCTCGCAAGAGTTCCCTGTGCAGACCCAGCCCTTGTCTTCCCATCTTGTTCTGGATTTGTACAGCCTCTGCCTCTGCCTGACTGAAGGCTGCTTGCATCTGTGCTGAATGACTCACCATCCAGACTCATCTCCCTGTATCCACCTTCACATTAGGTCTTTTTCCATCCTCTCCAGACTTGATATCCATGAGAGATGCTCTCTTCCTCCCACTTAGCCATCTGCACCTCACCCGCTTCAAGGTCCAGATCAAATGCTGCTGCTGCCTCCTTCTCCTCCTCCCCCTCCCCCTTCCCCTCCTCCACTTCCTCCTCCGGGAAGCTTTCCAGGCCCTCTCTCGCCCATGGAAAACACTTCCCACAACCATTACTGTCTCCTCCAGTCATAAGGACATTAGTCATGGACTGCCTCTGTGACTGAGCTGAACTGCTACTAAAATCTCTTGCTATTTTATTCATACTTGTTTAGTTTTCCCAAGGCCCCTGTAAACCCTTGGGGAAGAGGCTGAGCCTTATCTACCTTGTCATCCTGCAACACAGAGCTCGGCCACACAACAGGGCTCCATACATGGAGCTTCCCAGGTAACCTGCCAAGGTAAACATGACACCTTCCCCACCAGGACACTGCTGGGGCCATCCTCGCTCAACAGCCTGAGATTTCGCTTCAGAGCCTGCTCTGGCCTCAGTTAGTCTGTGTGCCCAGCCACAGGCCTGTGTTTCCAAATGCAGGGAATCCCAAGTCCTATAAGGCCCACTTGATCTTACCCAGGCAAGGGCAGACCACAAGGTTTGTAAAAAGCATGGTGTCTCTGAGAAAGGGAAGGACACAGTTCCCCCAGGCAAACCCAGAAGCTGAGCGTGTTTCAGTTTCCTCGGCCACCAGAGCCCACGAGGGGGAAAAGCCACAGTGTTCGTGGTAAGTGGTACATGGTAGATGATTCACAGTAGCAAACCAACTGCAGGCCCAGGTACCGGCTTGCACTTGTTACAAGAAATGGCAGGAAAATCTCAGTTACAGCTACACTCTGGAGAGGGGAGGAGGAGGGTGCTTGGGCCTGACTCACCAGGTGAGTCACACACCCTTTTCACCCAGCTCCGCCAGCTCCAAAAATTAGCCAGTCACCATTCCCAGATCATGTGTGGTTTAAAATAAATAAATGTGTAGGAAATAGGCTCCATAGAACCCAAATCCGCAAGCCCAGAAGTCCACAGGAAAAGTTGTCCCCACCATTGCTAACCACAACCTGACAAGATTCTGCCCCTGCTTACACAGAAATACGCACCCTTTTCTTTACGTAACCGATAGCTGGGTACACGCTGCTCTGTGGCCACCTTGATCTTCTAAGGAATACACATGGACCCGGATGGGGAGGTGACATGTCTCTGCTTGGTAAAAGGGATGTGCGTATGTGTGAAAAGCCCACAAAAGAGAACTGTTCTGAAGTATACATGAGGCCACTGTGGAGTGCAAGCCCCTGGGTCCCCCGCTGAGGAGGATCCAGAGGATGGACCACCAATGGTGCTAGAAGCCTCATGGCTAAAGGCACTGCCTGTCCTCACTGAGAACTTCATCTTCCACAAGGAAAATGAGGCGTCCATGGGAACAGGGACTGACCTAATTCCCTAGTTTCCATGGTAGAGGTGGAACCGGCTGGTGACCAGGAGGACACAGGGATGATGGAGGAAAAAGTCATTTCCTGTAAAATTCCTGAGACCAAGAAGAGAAGTTGGTGCCAGAGACTCTGAGGAAACAGATTTCAAGCATTTTGGGGGAAGAGAAGGGTGCTGACCTTGGACTGAGGAAGCGAGTGACTTAGTCTCTAAAACACAACTGCAGCCATATGCTGGGGCAGGGGGAGCGGAGGGAACCAGCTCTGATGGAAAGAGGGGCTCAGATGCCACCAGAGTTACTTTGGCTTCGTCTTAAAAGCCATAGAGATGCTTTCAGTGACTTCGAGTCCCTGGGCCAGGATGTTATAACCAGAGCACTGCAAACATTTGCAGTTGCGAGGCTAAGCTGTGGCCCTAGGCCCTCTGGGAAGTCAGAGGACACCATTTCTAGGTGGGCTCCTTCCTTTCTTCGCTGGGATGCTTGATGGGAGATGGAGAATGGCAGTCGATGTGGCTGATCTGACTTCCAGAGCCATCTGGCCGTAGGTCAGAGAAGCAAAAGGAAAGTGACAGGCAAGGGGCAGCTGGAGCCCGTGTTCCCACAGGAAGCCAATCACGTATGAGGACCGCAGGGCTTTCTCCTGGTGAGCAGGTTGTCAGGGACCTGGCGATGCAATGGAATAAACACTTCCTTGGATCCTGAGAGCACAGCTGCACAGGGCTGGATGGAACGTATCAAGCTGAAATTTAACCAAACTGGGTGTCCTGAATGAGATGGGAAAGTGCAGGGGAGAAGCAGCCCAGCAAGAGCACATGTTAAAAAGACCTGGCCAGCAGTGACGTCAGCACAGTGAGGTGGTGGAGCTGCCAGAAAAGCTGATAGAACCTTGGGCTGCATGAACAAGAGTAGAACTTCCTGAAGCAGGGAGGTGATGGCACCCTTCCTGTGCTGTGGTCATACCGTGAATATGACGTATCATGCTTGGCACCACCTTTGCTGAATATAATGATGTGGAGCCCCGGGACCACAGGGAAGATAAAACAATCCCAACCCACTCTTTGCATTAAGCTGGGAAAACACTCAGGGGTGGTCATGAAGACTGGGAATGAATACCACTCCCTGAGTAGAGAATTCACTCTTTCCAAGTACTTCCATTACATAATGCCTAACAGCAGAATGGGCCTCAGGATTCTCCAGCATCTTCCACTCCCTCTCGGGAGGCAGCTGTAGCATGGCTGTCATTGCCTCACATGTGAGAATCTGGCTGTCACTCCTGGCGGCAGAGCTGGACCTCGGCAACTTCAGCATTTCAGGAGCAACATCTGTGATGTGGTGGAGGGCTGAGACCTGCTTTCTATGGCTCCATGATGAAGGGCAGAAATTAAAGGTCAGAACTCTAGGGCCATCAGCAAGAGCTGTCCAAAGAAGGGACCAGTCACTTCCAGTAGCTACCCCAAGCTGGACCCCCAGGGTGGAGAAATCCAGCACCCCATGAGTTTGATCAGGCTCTCCCAGCCCTGCAGTTCCAAGCATGTGAGCAGCTGGCTGTCTCCTATTTCTAGGGGTGTCCCCATGTGAACACAGGCAATCTCCCAGAGATGCAGTCTTGAAAGACTCAAAGGGTAAAAGCCATTCAGGAAAGCAGCACACACGAGAGGCCTGAGGTAAAGAGGAACCCTACCTAGTCTATGTGCCAAGACTCCCGGCCAGTTCAGGAATGGGGTAGAAGGAAGAGGCCATTTGTGTGGCCCACTGTGCGTCAGGCACCACAAAGGCATGCTGTGCCCTCTGGCCCATGCCATCCCCCAAGCACCCTGTGAGAGGAGTGGTATCGCTCCCACTTTACAGCAGAGAACCTGTTCTGTGACAATAGGTCCCCAGTGCATTCCAATGCACGCTCTGGGCTCCACACGTTGAGCGATCAGTTGGTCAGTCTGTGGAAGAGTTATCCTGGTCTCATATTGGGAGATACTAGGAAAAAGAAAAAGGAAAAAGAAGAAAGCCAACATCGGTGCCTCACCCAATCCCCATCAGTAGCTCCCACGAATACGGAACTCATTCTGTGTGCTACTTGCAGGAGGAGTTTACACCATCACATGAAGCAGAGCTGTGGCTGAGACATACATGGCAGAGAACCAGAGCCAGCAGCCACGGTCAGAGGTCAAAGTTGTAAACACACCAGGTTGCCCTCACTCCTACCTGTCAGGCTGGCACTGGAGCAGGTGGAGGCTAAGCTCAGACTTTATGCCTCCCTTCATGGCTGAAACCCACATGAAGGGGAAATCCAGGTGACTGTGAGGCCACAGAAAGAAGGGAATCAGCATCATTTTACAAGACAGCACACTGTGCTCCACGAATATCTGACCCCACAGAATATGTACATGGCTGCTCCTTTGGGAGAGGGGGTTCCCAGGCTCCCGCCCCTCCCAGCTCTGTTTCCTGACAATACACAGGCAGGGACACCCGATCCTGATCTGTGGGTCTCAGTGCCAGGGGTCTCAGCATCCTTTCTCCCCTCATTTGTTCTCCTTGCACTGACTTGGAGGAGGGGGATGACCAGTTCCAAAGGCTAAGCCTGCAGTGAGGTAGGGAAAGTGGAGTAGCAGCTGCTTTCTGCACAGAGCCATTACAGTACAGACAGGTGCATGGAAAGGGACAGATGGCCCAGGTTCTATGACCCTAATTGCAGAGTTCCAAAATGGGCTGCCTTCCTTAGAAACAGAAAGACATGATACACGATTCGTATACCGACTTCCACCACAAAGAAGGCTGTGGCAAAACCCAGGGCCTACCTAGAGCCTGCCTTGGGCCCTGCCTTTAGTGCCTTCACCCTGACCCCCGTGACTCCTCCTCATCCAGACAAAGCCATGTGCTCCACGTCCTAGCCCATCACCCTGAAGGAATCAGCCCCCACCATGCCTCTTCAAGGGCTTCCCCGGCCTGCTAGGTTGGTCCTCACCTCCCACCCAAGCACCCAGGACCTCCATGCCTCTGAGCCCGCCTGATTCCAGCCTTAGTGGCTGTGGGTAGCACCCATGTTTCTGCCCTGATTGTGCCCTCACTTCTCCACATCTCCTTGTACTCTTGTCTCCGTACACCTTCCAAGGCGCTGCCCAACAGACCAGCACCGCCTCCTCCAGGCAGTTGCCTAGTGGCCCACATTGTGCAACCCTGTGGTGTCTCGGACTTGTTGAATGCTCCTCCCTCCAGGTGCCAAAGGGCATTCAGCTCCACTCATTGTCACAGGGTCCCCAGCTCAACAGCTGCACATTATGCACTAGCAAGCTAGGCCAAGTTTCTCCACACCCCATGGGCCCTACTGACAGTCATTTCTGCCTCCTCCCTCCCCCCACTTCCCACACTCCACTCTCAAGATTCAGCTCACAGCTAACTGTAGATAACAAACCTCTACAGGCAATGTCCTTTCCAGTTAAGAGTTTGTGTTTAACCAATGTCTTCTGCAGATAAGGCCTCGAAAATAAGGTGGGAATAAGAAGCCCCAAGGCTCTTGGGAAGGTGTTTTGATGGGGAAAATCTTTTTTTTTTTAAACCTTTTATTTTTATTGGTACATGTTTGCAGGACATAATGGTTACATTCATTGAGAGGCGCTGGTACATGTACATAACACATCTTAATTCTTTTTGTGTCTCCTTCCTCCCCACTTCCTTCCTCCATCTCTTGGTCTCCTCCCCATCTGCAAAAGATCTTGAGACATGGGCTACCCATGCTATAAGTATTCAAATCCTACTTCCAAGGTTGCCAGAGTTCTCAGAAAGTGGTAGTGAGGCTCTGTCTCCCATTAAGGAAGGCTGACTAAAAGAGAAACTGTCACAAACGGATCAAGGGTCACAGCCTGAGGAGAAACTGGCAGACAGAAGAGAGATTTGACTCTGAACTGGCTAGGAGAACTTAAGCAAGCAACACTCCCGTCATGAAGCTTCTGAGTCTCAGTTTCTCCGTGGATATGCGAGGAGGCAGGGCTGAGAACTGGATGATCTCCGATGGCCCTCCAATCTGACATCCCACGGTTAGGTGACTCAGTCTCCCACCTCACCCCCAGGTCAGTGCCACTGGAAGTCATGCTAGATCCACTTCCTCTTCATCTCCAGCCCCACCTGAGTCCAAGGGTAAGGCTCCAGACCTCGAAGCCAACCCACGGTGCAGGTGAGGTGCCTCCGCCCTGCAGGTGGAGGGAGGGGCAGGAGTAGAGGAAGACACTCGTTGCTATGGACACAGAAATGCTCCTCTCATCCTGCCATCTGGCCAAACCTGGAAAAAAGAGTCAGCCAGTTGCCTTCACTCCCTGGCCTATCTTTTTCAGAGATTACAACTGCTTGCTAAATATAAGTGCTGCTCTAAAATCAGGACATATAAGGTCTCTCAGCCTGGATCTGAAAGGTTTCATAATGAGTAGAACAAGAAAGCAATGAAGAATGAAACTCAGAGGCAATCTAAGTGGTATTGTGCAGACACAATAGTGAAAGATCTTTTAAAATCTTTCTTCTGTCACGCTGAAGATGAAGATGAAGTTTCAGCAGTAAACAGACATCTGCTAGGAGCTCTGAAAACAGACAACATAAACAGCCTGGAGAGCAGCCATTAACAGCCCAGAGCCCTCTGCAGGCAGCCCAGGGAGAGGGGAGGCTGCAAGGAGAGGGCTTGGGGGACAGAGGTGGGTTCCCCACAGCAAGAGATGGGCTGGGGAGCTCAGCCTGGTAGAAATGAGCATGCTGGCTGCCTTCTGCAGGAAAGAACATCTTAGGATGCTCTACAGGACTTCAGGAAGCCCGTGCAGAGTTCCAAGCCAGCACCACTCATTCTAGAAATGGGTCACTCTCCAAAAGCGGAAAAAACCTGACATTTCTGAGTATGTACCAATGCAAGGCACTTCACAAATATTTTATGTTCATCTCCACATCAAACCCTGGAGCTGGATGTAACTCCTCTTCATAGACTGCTAGGGTTCATTAACTTGCCCGAGGTCACATGGCTAAGATTTGATCCCAGGTCTGTCTTAGCACCTTTTTGTTTCTTTTTGTCTATATCCCCTGCATTAAGAACATTCCCCTGAGGTTTATTCTCAGTGCTCGGATTCTCTCACCCCCAGATCTAACACAAGGGGATTCCTAAGGCAGAGAGGCAGCTGCTAACCAGAATCATCACTGAGGCTCAGCGGCCCTGGTGGCTGTGTTTCTTCAGACTCTAGTCACCTCCCAGCAGCCGAGATAGCAGAGGGTGAAGGAAGCACAGGGGAAGCCTCTTCTGGCAGAACCCACAGGAGGTGGGGACAGGAGGAGCCAGTGAGAGGAGAATGGGCTGGAGGATACAGGGAGAAGACAGCCTTATGTATTCACTGAACTCCCTTGGTACCAAGTACACTACTATGCATCTAAGTACACACTTGAGGCTGAGTACCATTCATCTGTGTAAGCATGCAGGGTGAGCAACTGTGTCTATGCAAGAGTGCTGGGGTGGAATCTGTATGTGTGTTGGGGCAAGTAGCATTCGTCTATGTAAGTCTGGGAGGGCAGCTTTTAAGAGAGCCCAAGATATCAGAAACAAGGCCATCCAAGCTGAAGATAGAAACTTGGACCAAACAAGAACACATGGGTCCCCAGTTGAGGCAGCCCTGGAATGCAGAAGAAATCCAGGGTTTCGTCCAGTGCCCCACCCTGTCTCACAACAGTGACCGCTATCACTCTGGCAGGTGCCCCACTGCCCTAAGGCCCCAGCCACACAAGCCCCACAGAACTAACTGAACCCATAGTGAGGGCCTGGACAAAGGCCTTCCATCCAGTCCCCCTTGTTTTGCTGCTCTGCTTGTCCTTCATTCCTGCACCACAGGGAGCTCCCGCTCTTACCACCATGCAGCCAAGCATGCAGCACCCAGGGGTCCGGACATGGAGCTGTCAGCACCCTCACTTGAGAGCAGCCTTGAATGCATCTCAACCCCCATTCTGCTCGCCTGGGATGAACAGGTGTCCAAGGGGGACTCAGCAGCAAAGCCTTCGTGGCTGGGGTCCTTTCTCTTCCAAGGAGCAGTTCTCCTTACTGATCAAAAGGTCTAGTGACTTTTTCCCAGGCACTCCATCCTCACCGACAGCTCATTCTCCTGGCTCCCAGTGCAAGCTACACCTGAACCCTACAAACTGTCACCAGACAGAGTCAGTACTCAGAGAAGGCGTAAAGGCCAGCATGGGGTATCCCTAGACTCCTACTCCTGTCTCTGATATGTGCTGGGCTTCTGGCCTGGTGTGTCAGGAATTTGGGGCTGCAGAAACCGCACAAGTCTGCAGCAGCCCCTGTTCAACTCCTTGCTGCCCTCCTCTTGCGGCAAGCAAGAAGGCCATCTGTGTTGGACATGCCCCATCAGCCAAAGGGGGAAAATTTGAGCAGCAAACCAACGATGATATGGTTCCCGGCTTTCCTATTTTCTAACTTTTATCTCTACTTACCTTTCCTATTTTCTAACTTACTTCTAGATTCCCCCAATAGAAATCAGCCAAGGACTGAAGGGGCACATTTGCCCAAGATATGTGGGTGGCCACTGGGTGGTGGAGATTTGGAGTGGGGAGGAAGGCAGAGAAGTTACCCTGACCCTGGGGGAAAAGAGATCTTAGACCAATTAAAAAACACACTAAAGAGTCTAACACTAAAATCACAGCACTACTGGGCCAGGGATTTGGCTCAGTGGTTCCACCGCCCTCATCACAAGTGCAAGGGCCCAAGTTTGATCCCCAGTACAAAAAAAAAAAAAAAAAAAAAAAAAAAAAAAAAAAAAAAATCACAGCACTGCCCACATACACACAGCTCCCTGACAGGCTGAGGGCAGTTATTCCAGTGAGGAACCATAGTAATGCCTGGATGCATGAGCAGGTACAGTGCGTGTAAGAGAGGACCCCGTCCTGCAAGGAAGGTGTATTTGTGAGCAGAGGGCCCA